GAAGATGAAGGCAGGATAACATAAACAAAATCTTCAATGAGGCCAATTACCCTGAAAGCTTTCCCAGACTTTGAGGTAACAAGGCAAGCTGCTCTAGGAAGCCTCCTGCCCAGAATTAACACTGTTCCCGTTCCAGCCCCACCTTGGGCAATCTTGCCAGTAAAACAGAGACCTCCTCATTCTTTAGATTGTTTCTGTCCAGTGATAAACGCCAGTGCTTCCTTTACATTTTGGGAACATACTGAGACTGTCTTACAGTCAAATTTGTTTCTCAAGTCCCAAGTTAGTAGAGACACCTCTGTATGGGTTAAGAGACAATGCATTCGTTTTGTGGAATTGACAAATGGTGGTTCTATGACTCCAAATCCACCTGACCATCATTAAGCTGGTATTGTGGGGTAGTTACTAAAATTAAAATCACAAAAAGTCTGAAAAATGTATAAACAGATACTAATAACTTCATAAATAAGATTAAGGATAAATGACATTAAACAGCAGGGCAAACCTAATACTAGATTATAACCCAAAGTATAAATATCCATGAGCCCACAGGATATAAATAAATGAGAACTGACAAATTTCCCATACAGAATTTCACATACTTTGTGTCAGTGACAGCCAAGTGTGATGGCTCACACCTATAATTCCAGCACTTTGGAAAGGAGGCCAAGGCTGACAGATCACCTGAGGTCGGGAGTTCAGGACCAGCCTGACCAACACAAAGAAATACTATCTCTACTAAAAATACAAAATTAGCTGGGCATGGTGGCGCCTGCCTGTAGTCCCAGCTACTTGGGAGGTTGAGACAGAAGAATCGCTTGAACCTGGGAGGTGGAAGTTGCAGCGAGCCAAGATCGCACCACTGCACTCCAGCCTGGGCGACAGAATGAGACTCCATCTCTTAAAAAAAAAAAAAAAAAGAGGTAAAATAGCAAAATACTATAATATTTAATATCAGGAAGATAAACATATAAATCAAGGTTGATCAGACTGTGAACTATGATGTAATGAGTTTTAAAATGAACCCAGGCGAGCTCCAATAGGGGACTGGAGGTTGATGGCTAAAGACACTTCTTTTGGGAAGACAAACGTTCTCCTAAAATTGATTGTAGTAATGGTTATACAACTCGGAATATGCCAAAAACCAACTGTGCACTTCAGATGGGTGAATTGGATGGTATGTGAGCTATACCTCAATAAAGCTATTACCAAAAAATAAAGCCAGTAAGTAATGAAGGAAAATGCACCAGAAAATAGAATATATTGCAGGCAACAAGAATGAGTACTATTTTCTGAAACTTTAATTCACTTCTATAAATAAATAAGTACATAGATTATACACATATATATATTCATACATCCACATGTATGCCTGTAAGTACATAGTCACGGTGCAAAATTAATTTTTTTACATAAGTCATCATCAAAAAGAACACTATTCTCCCTCATTCCCACATCTTCCATTTTGATAATGTGATGCTATGTGAAAAGATCAATAAGGATAAAATCTACACATCTCAGTTTGATTTTTAAAAAAAATTGGAAAAAGAAACTAGTTATAAATAATAATGGAGAGAACTGCAACTACGAAAGAAAACAAATACAAAGGCACACGCAACACAGCTCTCGATGGGCTGCGCACACCCACGCCTGGGTCTGCAGCCCAGGCCTCCGAGCTCCAGAGCAGTATCAACTGCCTACCTGCCATCTCCCCCAGGCCTCTGAGCTCCAGAGCGGTATCAACTGCCTACCTGCCATCTCCCCCAGGCCTCCAAGCTCCAGAGTGGTATCAACTGCCTACCTGCCATCTCCCCGTGGACGTGTCATATCAAGTCTCAGATTCCTAGGAGACAACCACAGTTCCTGATTCCTTCCCACTAAATCGTTTCCCGGCAAAGTCATCACCATCTCTCCAGACATTTAACCAAAATCTAGATGCTCTCTCTCCATGATTTCTCTTTCCCTCACACTCCACTACAGATTCAACAAGCAAGGGATTTGTCCCACCTCAAAAAAACATCTCAAAACTTGCCATTTCCTCCATCCACTACCAACCCCCCACCCTGATATCAACATTCCTCGACTTTTCTTGCTCCCATGCACCCAAAAAGGATGTTTGTGTCACATGTAAAATTGTAGGAGTTTAACAGCTGTAAAAACGTAATCTCTGCCACACTGTACATCTTGGCACTTTTAATAAAACTCACAATCCGTTTTAAAATATATTCAATGGAATCTAAATACCACTGAAATGATATCTACCATTATCCATTTGCTAAAATACAAAAATAAACTCTTTATGGCTGGATATTTTATGTAGTTCCTTTTCCTCCATGAACTCACTTCTATTCCATGTCACCCAAGGAATTTTAACTGAATATATATTTATATTCAAAGCTTTCTGCTACATGACTATAAATATAAATCGAAATTTCAGGTTTTAAAAAATATTTTCCCATGACCATAAGGTCTAAATATTATTTTTCTTTTCTTCTGAATTAAGTTATCAATACAGGCCAGGCATGGTGACTCATACCTGTAATCCCAGCACTCTGAGAGGCCAAGGTGGGTGTATAACCTGAGGTTAGGAGTTCAAGACCAGCCTGGCCAACATGGTGAAACCTCATCTCTACTAAAAATACAAAAATTAGCTGGGTGTGGTGGTGTGCACCTCCAATCCCAGCTACTGAGGAAGCTGAGGCAGGGAAATCACTTGAACCCAGGAGGAGGAGGTTGCAATGAGCCAAGATCACTGTACTCCACTCCAGCCTGGGCAACAGAGTGAGACTCTGTTTTAAAAAAAAGAAAAAGGTATCAATGCAATTTGTATTAGTATAGTCGGATCCCTGAGGGATTGGTTCCAGGACCTCTCAAGAATATCAAATTCTGAAGATGCTCAAGTCCCTGATATAAAATGAAGATATCAAGTATTTGCATATAACCTATGCACATCGTCCTATATACTTTAAATCATCTCTAGATTACTAATAATACCTAATACAATGTGAATGCTACGTGAATAGTTTTTATACTGTATTGTGTTGGGAATAATGACAAGAAAAATTCTGTACATATTCAGTACAGACACATTTTTTTCTGAATACTTTCAATCCACAGTTTGTTGAATCCACCGATGCGGAAGTCACAGATACAGAGGGCCAACTGCACACACTTTATCAACAAATTTCACAAATTTTGATAGGCAATTAAGCATAGAAAGTAAAATCTTATTGAAAATGCATCCTTTAATGAGACGATCAGAGCGGTTTTCCCCCCAACTGGTTCATGTGAACATTATTTACCACTAGAATGAGATAGGTTTATTACCAACTTAATCCTTTTTTCTTATCTTTTTTTTAAATGTCAGTACTGAAAAAGCTTGTTCACATAAACAGATGTGTATGGAAATAGCTTTGTTATGGCACTGCCCTATATTCTCAAAAATACCTCAGTGTTTCTTCTAAAAATCACACAGTCAGATTTCATTAAAAATCACTTGAATCATCTATCAGTTGCCAATTTCACTGGGTCCTCCCTCAGTTTTACTAGAAGCAATGATCTGAAAACCACCAATGTTCCTAAAGAATATGTCATGTAATCAGAGTGAATCACTTTTTCCTAACGCCTATATTTCAAATTGTCCCTTTGCCCAAGATGAAGCCAACAGCAGGACTGGGGCTGGGTGAAAGAAACAGCTTTCTTTTGTAAAGTGGAGAAATGAGATTGTGAAAGCAGAGGTAGAAAATTGTAACTTACAACTCAGAAGGATCCATTTAAAAAAATATATAGACCCTGGAGATCTGGAAGCCTATTCCTTGCAAGTTATCCTCCTTCTTATACACCACTTAGAGTGTCTTCGTGTACCTCCAAAGGATCCAGTTTGACAAGTGACCAAGACTGCCCCATGATCAAGATATTCTCTTAAAAATGGAATTCACAGGGCCAAGTGCAGTGGCTCACACCTGTAATCCCAGCACTATGGGAGGCCAAGGCAAGCAGATCACTTGAGGTCAGGAGCTGGAGGCCAGTCTGGCCAAGATTGTGAAACCCCACTGCTACTAAAAGCACAAAAATTAGACAGGCGTGGTGGCACATGCCTGTAATCCCAGCTACTTGGGAGGCTGAGGCGTAAGAATCTCTTGAACCCGGGAGGTGGAGGTTGCAGTGAGCCTAGACCATACCACCACACTCCAGCCTGGGCGGCAGAGTAAGACTGTCTCAAAATATATATATATATTTATATATATATAATTCATGTTTTTTTTGATTTGCTAGTTCCCTGCTTAAAATCCTTTAACAATTCATACCACACTTAAAAGTGAAATCCAAATTCCTTCCTGTAGCTTCTAAAGTGCCACACACCTCATCTCACCATCCTACAAACTACAATGGCCTTCTCCAAGTTCCTGGATTGCTGGCAGGGCTTCCAGCCTTAGGGCCTTTGCACTTCCATTCCCTCCGACCAAAGCACTGTTCCCGTAGCTGTGTGGCTGCTCCTGTTACCTCCAAGCTTCAGCTGGAATGTCACCTCCTAAAAGGAGCCTCACCTGACCACCCCATCCACCTCATTATTCTCTACCACAGGAAACTAATTCTTGATAGCTCTTGACATTAGCATGATTATCTTCTTTATAGTAATGTCTTACTTGCCCACTAGACAAAACAGAGGTCATGTTTGTGTTTCATGTTCAGTACCCAGAACGGTGCCTGGCACTCAACAGATGTTTCTAAACAAGAGGGAGGGCATAAGCACGTCATGGAAAAAGTGAAATTAGTGAGTGGCGAGGGAGGGGGTGTTTCTAACAGCTTTCTGTACAACCTTATTTAAAAACAAAGTCATATTAATGTATTAGAGGATATAGATACGACAAACGCAAATGAGAAAAGTATTACAGGTAATATTAAACATATAAACATGGACATATACCAAGACTTCAGAGAGCACCCAAAGTGGGCAGGAACACTCAGCATACAAGTTTCCACCCCCATGTTTTCCTTACCTCTGTTCTTGAGAAGGCTCCTCCAGACCATCTTCAGAATCACCCTATTGAAAAAGAACATGTATTAACTGCTGTTTCTTTTTTCTTTTTTTTCTGAGATGAAGTCTCGCTCTGTCGCCCAGGCTGGAGTGCAATGGCAAGGTCTCAGCTCACTGCAACCTCCACCTCCTGGGTTTTAAGTGATTCTCCTGCCTCAGCCTCCCGAGTAGCTGGGACTACAGGCACGTGCCACTATGCACAGCTAATTTTTGTATTTTTAGTAGGGACAGGGTTTCACTATGTTGGTCAGGCTGGTCTCGAACTCCTGACCTTATGATCCACCCACCTCAGCCTCCCAAAGTGCTGGGATTACAGGTATGAGCCACTGTGCCTGGCCACACTTGGGTAAATCTTATAGTAACCTTGCACTGCTCTTCCCCCTTCACCTACTACCAGAAAGACCTACCCACTCATAGGAAACCCAGTTCCGACCTCTCCTTTCTTCCAGAACAGCAGCCCACAAAAACAGTCCTCTGCCTGCAGACTGTTGCTCCCAACCATCCTGTGCACCACCGCACTCTGTGCAACACAGACCAATCTCACATCACTCACTCCTTACCACCCACACAGTAAGGGCCCAGCACTCAATATCATCACGTCAGTTCCTGCTCAAGAACCTACAATGGCTCCCTCCAACCGGTCAGATGCACACCAAGCTCTTCAACACAGCATGCAGCCCCGTCCCATGCAGCCCCTGACATACCCACCCCTACCTCTACAACCACATTGCCAGGCACCTTGGGCTCCAATTTAAAATATCCGAGGGGAAATAATGAAATTCACTGTCTACCAGGTACGGCTCTGGGCTAGGCCCCAGGCACACATTTGCTGCTGCAGATTTCTAAGGCTTCCTTCGTCCCTTAGCCTTAGCTGACCTCTCCAATGCAGGGTGCCTCTTCTCTCAGTTCCTGTATTTCAGCACTTGACTATGGTCCCAGGGTATTACCAGCCTGACCTTGCCAACAACAAAGGGCAGGGACAAAAGCATGTAATTCCCCCACTCCCTCTTAGGAAGTGTCTCAGGGCCTTTGCACTGGCTGTTCTCTCTCACCACTTTCAAAGGTTGACTCAAATATTGCCTTTTCAGAGTGGTCGACTTTGACCTCTTAAAGCCGCAACTCACATCACCACCCCACCTTGCCACCATATAACACAACATGTATGCCCTTCGAAAAGACTAAATTACTTGCAATGTATTCTCTGTCTTGTTTAATATCTATGTCTATGCTTCCATTTGGACTGCAAGCATCACAAGGGCAGGTGCTTTTTCTTTTTGGTCTATCGTAACATCCCTGACACCTAAAGCAATGCTTGGCCCCGAGTATGCGCTCAATAAACATCTGCAGAGCTGAGTACCAGCTGTTTCTTAACTACACATGGATATGACTATTATGGGAACTTCACTAAGCAACTTTTTCTAACTCAAAATAGAACGTGACATTCTTTCCCTCAGACATAGAAACTTTACCATCGTAATAGTGCTTTTCTGGTTAAACTGTACGAAACTCACACAACATCCATAATGGCTAAAAACCTGGGCTCTGTAGCTAAACACTTCCTGGGTTTCCATCCCAGCATGGTCACTTTCTTACTACCTTGGGCCAAGTAATTTCACTGCTCTGTGCCTCAATTTCCTCACCTGTAAACTTCACAGTCTTTAGTGTGTTAGTGAGTTATACTCATAAAGCACTTAAATAACACCAGCAGTGCCCAACCCACGTCAGTTATTATTTTTTAATGTTGATAGTAGAAATGGATTAAGCCAAAAATAAATCTCTATGATAAAAAAGATTACTAAATACTGGTCAATGATTCACTGGAGCAAGATGATGTTACATAACACGGTACCTGTGATAACAAAAACTCAGACTCTCAGTGTATCATTTCCTGTTTCAACTTTCTACCAATTTCCGTTATGTATACCCTCTGACTTAAGATGGGGGAAAATAAACTTGATATTTTTAAAGGCAGATTCTTTCTTATTCATCACTTTATCTCTGGGGACCTAACTGGGCCCACCCCAAGGTCCATCTTTGCTAAATGAACAAATAAGGCCAGGAGAGCACTGGGTCTGCCCAGCACCAACATGAGTCTGTATCAGGTAACAGTGGCTCCTACTCAACACCTGTCCCTGGTTCCCAAACCTGCTAACCAAGGGCCATCAGGAGTGAGCCTTCTCTTCTCAGAGAAGTCTGAATGGATTGAAAGAACAGATTGTGGGCTTTTTTGGGGGGGGAACAGCCCTTCTTTTTTGGCGGTGCGGGGGGACAGAGTCTTGCTCTATCGCCTAGGCTGGAGTACAGTGGTGTGATCTTTGCTCACTGCACCCTCCACTTCCCAGGTTCATGTGATTCTCCTGCCTCAGCCTCCTGAGTAGCTGGGACTACAGGCACCTACCACCATATCCAGCTAATTTTTTCTTTTTTTAGTAGAGACGGGGTTTCACCATGTTTGGCCAGGATGATTTCAACCTCCTGACCTCGTGATCTGCCCACCTTGGCCTCCCAAAGTGCTGGGATTACAGGTGTGAGCCACCGTGCCCAGCCTAGGCTGCCCTTCTTGCAGCTAGAACTGATTTTTTTTAACGTGATTGTCAAACAACATTAGGAAATCAACATTTTAAGGCATTCCACCTGTTACCTGCAGATTAGCAAACCTCATAGAGGAACTAGGCAAGACACTGACAACTGCCCCTCCTCCACTAGGAAGACTTCGTGGGCAGTATGAATGCCTACTGTAAGCAGGACACTGTGGCCACAGCAGGGCAGCAAGCCTTAGCAGCCCAGACCGTCAAAGGAGAACCCAGTTAAGGCAACAAGGCATGTACAAGACAACGGAGGAAAACGAAGACATTATGGGACTCTCAAAGAGAGAGAAACTATGTCAATGCCCCCGCAGGGCAGGAGTCAGGAAGGACAGGCCCTGAATGAACCGCGCGGCTGCTACATTCATTAATTCAACAGATATTGCTGGACAAGCCTGGCCAAGGGTCCGGCTGGAGTGGGCGTGCCAGAGGACTGACACAGAAGGCCCTGCAGGGCAGAGCAGGTCAGGTGGACATCACCTACGTGTAGATCACACAGAATCACAGTTTCTGACTTGGACAGCAAAGTAAGAAGGCACACAAAGCCGTATCCTGCACACACGAAATTACTTCTTGAAAATAAGCTAATGAAACACCTGTTTGGTTTCCACACCATCACCACTTTGGATTCAGTGTGTTGAAGTATAGTTGAAGTATAGCCCAAGCAGGAGAAAATTTCTGTAAATCTCAGAAGAAAATCACATATTTTTCCTCCTTCCTCTCACAATCACCATGCATACATAACTTGTATGTTCCCACACCAAATGATTTTACAACACGAGAGTATATAACAAAAAGATATGAGTAATACAACTTATCTATACAATCATAGAGCACACAACAGTACTGAGTTATCTGTACTATTCAGCCTTTTCAAAGCAAAAAGCCGTTCATGCTCTCCAATGACCAAGTCTACCAGTCAGCTCAGAGACTACCAAAATAACAGGTAACCTATAGCAGGTGCTCACTAAGTTCCAAGCCCTTAATTCTCTCAAAATCTGAAATCAGCACCACCATTCCCCAGACTTTGCAGATGAGAAAACAGGACAAACAGGTGAATTTACAGACCCAAAAAGAGATAGGGCTGGGATTCAAACCCAGGAGACCTGAACAGAGGTTCTGCCAGTTTACAACAATTTGATTGTTGTATCTGGTATTACTATAATCAACAGGAGACATGTCCAAAATAAATAACTATACAAACAGTGTTGGCAAACATGTTAGTATTTTTTTTTTTTTTTGATGGAGTTTCACTCGTTACCCAGGCTGGAGTGCAATGGCGCAATCTCAGTCACTGCAACCTCTGCCTCCCGGGTTCAAGTGATTCTCCTGCCTCAGCCTCCCAAGTAGCTGGGATTACAAGCATGCACCACCACACCTGGCTAATTTTGTATTTTTAGTAGAGATGGGGTTTCTCCATGTTGGTCAGGATGGTCTAGAACTCCTGACCTCAGGTGATCCACCCCCCCCCCCCACCCCAGCCTTCCAAAGTGCTGGGATTACAGGCGTGAGCCACTGGCCCAACCAGTATTTTCTTTATTTAATGCCACATCCTCTAAAGTTCCTATTTCATCTACTCCTGACAAATCTTAGCCTCTGAAGCCATCTTTAAGTCTTCCTGCATGAAAGAAACCCAATGTACTAGTTAATTAAACAGAAACTCTCAAATTTAAATAACACCTATAAATATTCTCTTTTCAACAGACTCCATTTGATACACATGAGGGAATTTTTACTGAAAAAATTCAAAATACTTTGAAAATAATTCCTTTAAAATAACTTTCTTCAAAACTGTCTGCAGCTTATGAGCTACATATAGATAACACACAATACACATGTGATGTGCTTATGAGATACACATACATACACACATACACATGTGCTTATGACATGCATATCTATATGTATCTCATAAGCACGTGTGTGTATGTGTGTGTATGTGTGTGTGTGTATCTCCCTCACCCTTGGCCCAGGTATAAGCAGGGCAAAATGGTTTCTAAAGGTTTACATATAGACGGGATGAAGTATTAAGAAAATTATTTTGAATACCAGTTTCACTTTCATTATAGCTTTGATTAAAATAGCTTAGCTATAAATGCCTCTATAGTAAGTATCCCAGACAAACAGCTTCTGAATTCTGACATCTCTTACCAAAACAAATTGTATTTACCTATAAACAAAACCAGAAATTAAAAACTGTAGTAGCTTTTGAGCCTATAAATAAAATGAATCATATCATAGGCCTTGACATTTCCATCTCTGAGCACACCTACTAAATCTTCAGCTTACGCTCTAACAAATGAGACTCTATAATACTAAACTCAATCATCTATAATTTACTTTCCTTTTAGTCTGGGTTGGCTTCCAACACTAGCCAGTAAGAAGTGGAAACTACAATTGAGCAAAAATGCAAATACGTATACATAGACATACACCAGTGCTTCTCCACCGGGCAATTTTGCTCCTCAGGGACATCTAGCAATGTCTGGAAACATTTTTAGTTGTCAAAGTCAGGAGGGGGTGGGGGAGAGGGGGAAGCAGCGGAGAGTGTCACTGGCATCTAGTGGGTATAGGCAAGGCATGCTAAGTGCTCAGCATCTCACAGTGCACAGGACAGCCCCACAACAAAACTCTCTAGCCCAAAATGTGACCAGTGCCACTGCTGAACAACTCTGATATACACAAACATACTTAATTTTTAAATAAATACATCAAGTTAAATGTGGTTCTCGCAGTAGGAATATGACAGATTTATATTTTGTTCTTTTTCTATAACTTCCAAAACACACGTGTATATTTAATGTAAGGGAAAAAAATCCATTTGGGAATAAACTTTTTAGGAGAAGGAAAACCTATCTGCACCTCATCCTGATGGGGCCTTTTCTCAAAAGACCGGTCTCATTCAGGCGGCTGGCCTTCAAGGAGCGTCCAGGAAAATTCTCTAAAATCACCTCTCTGCCTTGAAGCTGTTATTCATTAGCCCTAGTCAAAATGAATACTCCAAATATCTCAAAACCAGCACTCTGAATGTTTCACATAAAAGGCAGAAAACTGAAATGTAAAACTGGACAGCCTCTCCAGTAAAGTTATAGCTAGACATCCTGTTTTTCTAAACAGCCACGAGACACAACACAGAATTAAGTGCTTCCCAACGTGGGAAGTAACGAACATCTTAAAAAGTACTGCGCACAAGCTGAATATTCCCTTATAATTCAAACCATCTCCACCCAAAAAATGCATCTTGGATCACTACTGGTGCCGGTGGAAGGCAGTCAACAATATTATATTTAAATGGGCACTTCACAGTCAATGGGAATTTCTTGTAAAAGTTAAAGACAAAAGCTTTCCAATACTGCATCTGTTGCAGCAGTGAACCCTATATGATGCTACAGCTTCCCAATAAAATGTCAGCAATTATTTTTCTACATGCAATCATCATCTCATCATATAGAGAAAAAAAACCTGAAATTCAAGTTCTTAAGTGGGTGTCTTTTAACAGGAATTAAGGACAGTTGGAGAAAATCCAAGATAACAATCCTTTAAAGTCACATCTCCATCCCAAAGCTACTTAACGCTAATGGCAAATACCACTCTAACATTTATGAAATCAATTCTCCTGTTGTCCTCAACCCCCCAGCCACTTGCCATCCACACAGCACCAGCTCGCTTAGAGAACAGTGTGCACCGAGGACACCCGCGGCCGAGCGGACTGCTGGCCGCCTCCCTGCTGAGGTGGCCTGGGTTCCCACCTTCTGAACTTGGGGCTAGCCTGACTCACGCCGTCACATGGCGTGGGAGGAGCCGGGAAGGCCACCGTTGCCAGGTGTTCAGGCTCGGCCCCTAACGTTTATTTGCCTTGCAAAGTGGCCGGAGCGCCAGTGCCGCTGGGAGGGGGGTGGGGTAGACTGGCGGCCTCCCGGCCTCTCCTCCCTCGCACACCCACAGCCGCCCTGTCACCTGGTCGTCCTCACCTGAGTGGGCAGCAGGAGTTCCCCTTCTTCTGCCTGCCACAGCTCCACCACGTTCGGCAAGGGCTCAATTGCTGCAGAACACCAAAAAATACACCACGTTTTTAATGCACGCTAAAGAAAGCTTCCTGTTTCCCCTGTCGTGCCTCCGTGCCACTCGCCTCACCAAAACACGTCTCTTTTTCCTCCTAGGAACGGAGGCCATCGGAGGGGCGAGCTGAGGATAAAAACACAATGGGCGGGGTGTGAGCCGCCGGCCCCTCGGACGCGAAGGCGAAAGCGTGCAGGCTCGAGGTGCTAGTGCTGGAGGGGGACGAAATGGAGGTGAAGACACCCCACGGGGCACTCCGGGCTCCACAGCCCGAGCATCTGGATGGCGGACCACGGGCAGCCAGGCTCGGGGGAACAAAGCTGCAGGAAGCCGAGCCGCGGCGGGGCACCAGTGCGCGCCACACAAAGCGGGGGCTGCGCCCCGGGCGCAGGGGCCGGCGCACAAAGGCTCCAGGGCGCGAGCAGCTAGCGGTCCCCAAGACCCACCACCGCCCCGCTCTCCAGCTGTACGGGGCAGCGGGGCGCCGGAGGGGACGCTGTGATCGGAAAATGTTATCAGCGGAGAATTGCAACAGCTTTCCTTCCTCCTCCTGCCCCTTTCCCTTTCCTCCCCTCGCCCTCTTATAGATTTCAGCAGTTCCCTAAAAGAAAGAGCGGGGGCGGGGTGGAGAGGCAGAGCGAGCCCAGCGGCGCAAGGCTGACCTTGTCCCTGAGCCCCTCCCGGGCGACAGCAGGGCAGCAGGACCTGGAAGACGCCCAGCAGGAGGTTCACGGCCGCGGCGGTGCGGCAATAGCAGCCGGGCTGCGGGCGTCGGAGCCCCGCCATGCTGGTGCTCGCGCTCCTCTCCGTTGCTTGCCGCGCTCGCCACTAGCTCGCTGGCGCCCCAGCTGCCTCGCCCCGGGCCCGCCCCCGCGCCGCGCCGCCCCGCCCCGCCCCGCGCCGCACCCCCCACCCCCCACAGCCCGTCGCCGCCGCCGCCGCAGCTGCTGCAGCTACAACCCTAGGCGCGCCGCTCGCTCGGAGCGCGTGTGCGCCGCAGATAGGGAGGGACTGAACGCGGCGGGGTGCGGGGAAAAGTGGACAATGCGAATGCGGTGGCTGCGGGCGCCCAGCCCCGGCGCGGAGCACATGGCCTTGGGCTCGCTCCGCAGCGCGGACTCGGCGAGGCCGGGGCGCTTTTCTCGGCTCGGACCAGGTCGCTTAGAGCTGTCCGCGGGGACTAGCGGCCCACTTTTGCCAAGTGCGTTTTCATGAGCGTTCGGGTGGTTGCCGCTTTGTTGAGGTGCTCGGGCCTCGGTCTAGAGTTTACCCTCGAGGGAAGAGGTGGCGGTGGAGGTGAGAACTCAGGAGTCGCCAAGCCAGAGGCCTTGGGCACAGGATATTAGTGGAAATAATGCAGTGGTTGTCAGGAAACGCGACTGCAGCCACATGGCCACTGCCAGTTATGCAGCGAGGATATCCGGTGGCTGCAAAGTCTGTAATTAGAATAAAAAGAGCTCTCCCAAAACCGGAGAGGCTGACCTCAGCGCCGCGTGGCGGTAGTGCGCCCGGCATCCTCCGTGGACACGGTCCAGGTCATGACAGGTGGGGAAGACTCTTCCTACGGCATTTATAGCTTCAAAGACTCTGCAAATACTCCCTTTTGGAATCATATTGCAAAATTCAGCCTGCCTTTCCTGAAATATGGTTGGGGTCGAGGACGTGGGCAGTTGCTTGTTTCTAACATTAGGATAATGGAAGTAATATGTGGACATATATTTCCTAGCTCCAGGTTTCGATGCCTATAACGAACGAGTCCAAAATCTGGCATCTCTTTAAGGTAAAGGCATCTGCCTTTACCAGTGATGCCACAAACAAGGGCTTATTCAGAAATAAATTTGCATAACCTAGAGGTATGGGCAATGTTATGATTTTTTAAAGTTAACTTACTGCTTGCACTGTAGCTTGTATGAAATTCAGAACATAAGAACACTGCCGTATGAAGAGGGGACATGATGGGACGCACCTGTTTACCTTGAGCCTCTGTTTAATTGCTTCTGGTGCCTTACAAGCCAGACTATGGAAAACCAGTGCTTGCAAAACAGACACACGTCTGAGGACAAAATGAAGTCTAGATCCTCTGTCCTAAAGACATAATACTATTTAACCAAACAAGGTTAAATAGTACAATTGCTTGGCCAAACTTAACATTTAAGTAGATTAGCATAAACATTAACTTATTGATGTGAAAAAAAAGCACTTTGCATTTTCCAACTTGAATACCTCCAGTAGCCTATATTCCATACTTTTTTCTGTGAACTTTGCCAACATCTTTATTTAGCAAGGATCTCCAGCGCCATCTCAATGTGCCCTTTTTTTCTCTTCACTTCTCCAAGTTTATATTTGCCCCTCAGATTCTGAAGGTCCCGCAGAGTTAAGGGACCTCCGGTGACAGGAAAACTTGCAAACCCACTTAAGCAGTAACTACACATTCAAAGTTTATTTCTAGATGAAAGTTCTCTCGTGGGCCTATTTATCTGCAGAATGTAATTTTAAGTCCTGTGACTGTAATACGTATAAAGGAAAGCAAGCAAATATTGACAGCCTACCTGATTTTATTAAGCAAATTTAAAGTTGTGATACAAAACTTTTGTACTAACATTTAAATTATTTTATTTTTTACTGATAAAGTCTTTCCCACATGAACGAGTATCACAGCATCAATAGAAACGACTTAAAAGATAGAATAACATTGCTATGGACCATATCTAAATACTGTGTAACTCTTTCTGAAACTTCGTAAGGTCAGCTTGATTTTTCAAGTTTTGGTCTTGTGGACTTTACAAAATGGGTAATGCTATTTGTTGTTCAAAGAGGCAGAAGCATGTATCTGCAATGCCATGGGGTTGGAGAGGGATACGGGATTACACAGCTGTCTTCTTAGATAAATCTGACCTACTTAGCCTCCTCTGGAGTTATTTTTCATGCTGACTCATGGACAACAGGAAAGTTCTAGCCCATTAAGCAGCATCCATGTTTTGGAGTACCTTTTTCTTCAAAGAAGACTCCTGTGTCATTCGTGTTATATTTCCATTATTCCCCTTGTCAGTCCTAGATGTTGTCACAGAATATTACAGCTGGAAATTTTCTAGAAATCATTGAATAGCCCAACTACTTCTTCTTACAGAAGAAACCAAAGCCCATAGAGAATTTTTAAATCCAAGTTAAAGAGTTCCTTTTAAAATGTTTATTTATAAAGTTTTTTGAGACAAGGGTAGTGAGGAAAAAGGCTAGGTATGGAAAACACCTAGATCTAAAAACTAATAAGCATTTTCTTTAAAAAGCCAAGGACTTATATTTAATTCCTCTTTCCTTGACACCCTTTAAATCTATCAGTTAGTCCTATGGTGCCCTCCTCCATGCTATTTCCCATACCTGGCCTTTTTCTTCATTACTACCCTGATCTCCTCACTCGCCCAGGCTGGAAGGCAGTGGCCCGATCTTGGCTCATGGCAATTTCTGCTTCCTTGACCCAAAGGATACTCCCACTTCAGCCTCCCAAGTAGCTGGGACCACAGGTGCGGGCCACCACACCTGGCTGATTTTTGTATTTTTGTAGAAACAAGGTTTCACCATGTTGCCCAGGCTGCCCAGGCTTGAACTCCTGGCCTCAGACAAATCCACCCACCTCAGCCTCCCAAAGTGCTGGGATTACAAGTGTGAGCCACCTCGTCCAGCCAGAGCTCCTTTAGAGGCAGAGTTATGGAGAAGCACATATGAAATAATGTTAACTGAAAAAAATTAATGTAACCACTGATTAAGTCAATATGAAAATTATAGGCCAGGCAAGGTAGCTCATGTCAGTAATTCCAATATTTTGGGAGGACAAGGTAGGAGGATTGCTTGAGCACGGGTGTTTAAGACCAGCCTAGGCAACATAGTGAGACTTTGTCCCTACAAAATTTTTTTTTTTAAGTTAGCCAGTCATGGTGGCGCATTCCTGTGGTCTGTAGTCCCAGCTACTCAGGAGGCTGAGGTGGGAGGACTTCTTGAGCCCAGGAGTTTGAGGCTGCAGTGAGCAAAGCTTGCACCACTGCACTCCAGCCTGGGTGACTGAGTGAGACCCTGTCTCCAACAAAAAAAAGAAAAAAAAAAAAAAAAAATATATATATATATATATACACAGGATTAAAAAGTGTTGAAGAGGCATTAAGGTGATGTCTTTGTGGAATATGTAAATGTTAAGTTCATATAAGATAAAATGGTTCTGTTAGAAAAAGCTGTAAATGGCTAAATCTCTATTGATTTTTATTTATTTACTTATTTATTTATTTTTTTTTTTGAGATAGGATCTGGTCTTGAATTCCTAGGTTTAAGCAATCCTGCTGCCTTGGCCTCCCAAAGTGATGGGATTACAGGCATGAGCCACCACACCCAGCCTCTAGAGGACCCTTCTTAATATAACTTATTCCATCTCGTCTTATAAAGCCTCAATTAAATGCATTGGATAAGAATAAGGAGTCTCTCCTTTCTCAGACACTGTTGTTAAACAATTGATCTTTTCTGCTACAGGACTATAATATAATTTTGGGTGAGTAGCAGCAGTATCCACAGTTTATTATTCTCTATTTTTTAAAAATACTCATAAAACTGTAAAATAAAAGTAAGTTTTACTGTAATTTAAAAATAAATTGATTAAATTAGAACTTTAACATTTTGAAAAGGTTGGAAAGTTTGCAGAAAGTGTTTTTTTATGTATACTTTAAGTTCTGGGATACATGTGCAGAACATGCAGGTTTGTTACATAGGTATACATGTGCAATGGTGGTTTACTGCACCCACCAACCTGTCATCTACATTAGGTATTTCTCCTAATACTATCCCTTCCCTACCAACCCATCGCCTGTCAGGCCCCAGTGTGTTATGTTCCCCTCCCTGTGTCCATGTGTTCTCATTGTTCAACTCCGACTTATAAGTGAGAACATGCAGTGTTTGGTTTTCTGTTCCTATGTTAGTTTGCTGAGAATGATGATTTCCAGTGTCATCCATGTCCCTGCAATGCACATGAACTCATCCTTTTTTATGGCTGCATAGTATTCCATGGTGTGTATGTGCCACATTTTCTTTATCCAGTCTGTCATTGATAGGCATTTGTAATGGTTCCAAATCTTTGCTATTGTGAATAGTGCTGCAATAAATATACGTGTACGTGTGTCTTATAGTAGAATGATTTATAATCCTTTATGTGTATGCCCAATAATGGGTTCCTGGGTCAAATGGTATTTCTGGTTCCAGATCCCTGAGGAATCGCCACACTGTTTTCCACAATGGTTGAGCTAATTTATACTCCTACCAACAGCGTAAAAGTGTTCCTATTTCTCCACATCCTCTCCAGCATCTGTTGTTTCCTGACTTTTTAATGATTGCCATTCTAACTGGCATGAGATGATATCTCATTGTGGTTTTTTTGATTTGCATTTCTCTAGTGCTGATGAGCTTTTTTTCCTATGTTTGTTGGCCCCTTAAATGTCTTCTTTTGAGAACTGTCTGTTCATATCCTTCATTCACTTTTTGATGGTGGTATTAGTTTTTTTTCTTGTAAATTTGTAGAAGTTCCTTGTAGATTCTGTGTATTAGCCCTTTGTCAGATGGATAGATTGCAAAACTTTTCTCCCATTCTGTAGGTTGCCTGTTCACTCTGATGATAGTTTCTTTTGCTGTGCAGAAGCTCTTTAGTTTAATTAGATCCTATTTGTCAATTTTGGCTTTTGTTGCTATTGCTTTGGTGTTTTAGTCATGAAGTCTTTGCCCACGCCTATGTCCTGAGTGGTAATGCTTAGGTTTTCTTCTAGGGTTTTTATGGTTTTAGGTCTTTGGTTTAACTGTTTAATCCATCCTGAGTTAATTTTTGTATAAGGTGTAAAAAAGGGGTCCA